AGGGTTTAGGGGTTAGGGTTTAGGGGTTAGGGTTTAGGGTTTAGGGTTTAGGGCTACCAGCTGCAGCAACAATACCGGTCGAAGCCCATCGCCGCACCTCCGATCGACATCTTCCTGAACAGCGCCTTCAGGTATGCCGTCTCGTCCGCCTGGCAAGTGTTCGGGTTTAGGGTTTAGGGCTTAGGGTTTAGGGTTTAGGGTTTGGGGTTTCGGGTTTAGGGGTAGCCCTAAGGGTCCATGGGTTAAGGGTTTAGGCTTTAGGGTTTAGAGGTTAGGGTAGCCCTAAGGGTCCATGTACTTAAATAGGGCAAGCTGGGTCTAAAAGCACCTCCTCTGGAGCCCGCAAGTATATACGAATGAAAAAAAACATGGACCCTTAGAGTTTAGGGTTTAGGGCTTAGGGTTTAGGGTAAGACAGCTTCACCGAGCGTGTCGATATCACATCTCTAAACAGAAAGAGTCCGGAACCCTTCCGCCCACAGCAGGTCGGCTTTTCGTCCTGAATCCGTCCCAAAACGTAGGAAAAACCCAATCTAAGGGCAGATCCATGGGCCCTTAATATAGGGCCCTTAAAAGGGTACCCCTTATATACCCCACATGCTTCAGAACTCTTTAAAAGCAGGTATAAGTGACCATATTAAGGGCCCATGGAACTACCCTGAGACCTACACCCCGCCGAAAAGCCTAGGAGCCGTAGAAACCCTAAACCCTAAACCCTAAACCCTAAACCCTAAACCCTACACCCTAAACCCTAAACCCTAAACCCTAAACCCTAAACCCTAAACCCTAAACCCCATAACATGCCCTCATCTCTGCAGGGCCACCCGGAGCCGGCGAGCGTGTTGGTTGACCACACCATTGTGCAGCACCTCGCACACATGGGAGCGTTAGGGTTTAGAGTTTAGGGTTTAGGGTTTAGGGTTTAGGGTTTAAGTAACTTGGTAGGGATTAGGGTTCAGGGCTTAGGGCTTTGTAGGGTTTCAGGGCCAGCATTTTTTTGAGGCAATGCAACGTGTAGGCAGATGCTCTGCAAACTCCACGGATCCAGGAAAAGGCGCGTTGTTTTGGGCTCAAGGATCTTGTCGGGTCCATGTACCCCTTTATTTTCTACTTGGGCCCCAACTACTCTGAGTGCCACCTAAGAAAGAAAGGGGGGGGGGGGATACTCTGAGCGCCACCTATTTCCGGGACCCATTTTGTCAGATTGGGGGGGGGGGGGGGGGGCAAGAAATAGGTACCGGAGTGGTGCCTGGATGTTTGTAGTGTGTGCATCTTCAGGACATCCCCCACCCCGCCAACATGAAAAAAAACGGAATCGGTATGGGTACCTGTTTTTTTTGGGGGGCGGGGGGCGGGGGGGGGCGGGGGGCGGGGTGGGGGACCATTCCCCCCCCCCCCCCCCCTCGAGGGGGTGGTCGTGGCCCACGTATACCCTATTTAGGTACATGGACCCTTAGGGGCTTATATATAGGGATTAAGGGATTTAGGTCCACCACTGATGCGGCTTGCCCGGACCTGACATGCTCTGAACATAAATGTCCGACACAATCACGACGCCGAGCCTGCAACAAGGGAGCTGCCAAACGCGCATAGCCTGCCACAGCCACTTTTCCCTGGCACGGGCTGCTTGCCCCCCTAAACCCTAAACCCTAAACCCTAAACCCTAAACCCTAAACCCTAAACCCTAAACCCTAAACCCTAAACCCTAAACCTCTAAACCCTAAACCCTAAACCCTCAATTCCAAGCATCAGGTCTTTGGACTCCAAAACATAGCAAACTCTGATCTGTCCGGAAACCCAGGGGAGGCTCCCGACTCCAAAGCTGAGCCTATGCCCTTTTTGGGGTTTAGGGTTTAGGGTTTAGGGTTCTACGACTTTTGGGGCTTCAATCCTTCAAAGTCGCAGCCCCCGAAAGTGACAATCCTAAAGCCTCCGGCCTTCAAGGTCGCCCCGGAAGCTTAAGGCCCAGCCCCGAAACAGTATTGACCCCAACCCTAAAGGGTGTAGGGTTTAGAGGGTTGAGGGTTTAGGGTTTAGGGTTTAGGGGTTAAGGCTCGCGATGCCTGGAGGCTTGCGAAGGATCACGTCCCTAACGAAAAGGCCACCTGCTGCCCTAACCCCGACCGCTCTGACCCTTTGACTCATGAAGCGCATCAACCCACAGCCAGTCTAGCGTTCAGGGTTCAGGGTTCAGGGTTCAGGGTTCAGGGTTCAGGGTTTAGGGTTTAAGGTTTAGGGTTTAGGGTTTAGGGTTTAGGGTTTAGGGCTCAGGGTTCCGAAGTCACTGGAGGAATCACTGGAGGAGGCGCAATACATTTCAGCAAACAAGTTTTGGACAAGGGAGGCTGCCAACGAGTTCTTGAGCCCCCCTCCCAAACTCTACACCCTGAACCCTACGCCCTATAAGCCCTAAGCCCTAAACCCTAAGCCCTTGCGACAGCAAGAACAACAGGCCGGCAAGTCTTCGAGGCGACGCAGAACAACCTTTGCCGGCGTCTCAGGGTTAGGAGAGGGCCCGAAACCCTAAACCCTAAACCCTAAACCCTAAACCCTAAACCCTAAACCCTAAACCCTAAGCCCTAAACCTAAACCCTAAACCCTAAACTCTAAACCACCTAAACCCTAAACCCCCGGGTTGGAGGGGCTTCGGGTTGATCACGAGGTATGGAAGGTGTGCCTCTATGAAGCCCTCCTTAGGATGTTCTGGGTGCCGAGGGGTTTAGGGTTTAGGGTTTAGGGTTTAGGGTTTAGGGTTTAAGGGTTAAGGGTTAAGGGTGAAGGGTTTAGGGTTCAGGGTTCAGGGTTAAGGGTTTAGGGTTTAAGGGTTAAGGGTCAAGGGTTAAGGGTTAAGGGTTAAGGGTTTAGGATTTAGGGTTTAGGGTTTAGGGTTTAGGCGAAGCTGATGGCTGATGTTTCGGGCTTCGAACGACCTCAAGGCTCGCCCTTCCCCTCGGCAAAATCTGAGTTGTATGTTTCTCACACCGCCATCGACAGTCTGCCTCGATCTTAGGGTTTAGGGTTTAGGGTTTAGGGTTTAGGGTTTAGGGTTTAGGGTTCAGAGATGGCAGCATGGGTGAGCCAGGGGGTGTCGGGCTGAAGGCTTTGAAGTTTCCGGGAAGTGTTCAGGCCGTTAAGGCCACAAAGCAGCGTAAGCAGTGAAAGCAAGGATAGAGACTATAATGTAGTCATACACCATGCAATCTGAAGTCCAAATCGCAAGCCTGCATGCTGACAAACCCTAAGCCCTGAAACTCTAAAACCTAAACCCGGAACCCTCAAAAGAGTGGTGAACAAACAAGGCACACACCCAATGCAGCCAAAAGCATGCACAGGCGCAGGGATCGGCAGAAGCAAAAGACAGGCGCAGGGTTCGGCAGAAGCAAAAGTTTGGGCGGCCAGGATGATGACTTCTCATGCCATTTACGAAGTAGGTAGTTCTCTAATTCAGGGTAACGCTAAACCCTAAACCCTAAACCCTAAACCCTTTTTTGGGGTACTTCTTTCCAGGGGGCTGTACTATGTTTGGGACCCAACCAAGGACCCTAATTTAGGGAACTACCCAAATGGCTTAGGACTTAAGGTTTCGGGTTTGAAGTTCAGGGGGCAAGGGTTTAGGGTTTAGGGTTTAAGGTTTAGGGTTTAGGGTTGTAATCCTCACAGACAGGCGTCCACAATGAGCTCGGCCAACGAGGCCTTGCGCATGCAGTTCCGGTGTGTCCTCAGAGAAAACACCGCAATCCGCGTACACCCGAAACCCGAAACCCTAAACCCTAAACCCTAAACCCTAAACCCTGAACCCCAAAAAACTCCGCATGCCCTAAACCCAAGCCATGGTCTACTGGCAGAGTGGAAACATGGCATTCGGCCCAAGAAACTGTAGACTCCTCTTCCGAACCTGCCCCAAGGGCTCGAAAATCGGGCATGAAGGTACCCTAAACCCTAAACCCTAAACCCTAAACCCTAAACCCTAAAACCCTTGCCCCTTAATGCCCACCAAAAACACATGTCTGCTTGGCAGTGGGTTGCTGACAGTGGGGCCTAAACCCTAAATCCCAAAATCTTGAAGATTCCCTACGAACCCATGCAAAGCCCAACAGATGGTACGCGCTTACAACTTTTAGGGTTTAGGGTTTAGGCTTTAGCGCAACAAGGCCCTCCTTGTAGGTTCTAGAGTAACACGCTAACCTTAGGCTCCAAGCTTAGGTTTGGGGTTGAATTACCTAATAGCCTTCGATCCTCAATTCATGCCAAGTCTCTGATCCGGACAAAGCGGGCGGCGGGCGTGACTCAGGTGGCAGAAGCCTGCCAGCTGTTTTTTTTTCAGACACAAGTTGATACAGGATTGCGTTTGTGGTCTCGGGTTTAGGGTTTAGGGTTTTCATTTGCCCTACACCCTGGGGTTTGGGGTTTAGTTGCCCTAAAGAGCTGCACATAGGTCACCCTGAACCTTTCAGGGTTCAGGGTTTAGGGTTTAGGGTTTAGGTTTCAGGGTTTAGGGTTTAGGGTTTAGGGTTCAGGCTCGACCCCAAACCCTAAACCCTGTAGGATCAAACTTGAACATGATGGTTCCTTCGGGTTCAGGGGGTAGGGGCAGAGCCGATACCAAACAAACGTCGTCAACTTTTGGCAGATTGACTACCATTTGCTTAGGAGCCCCAAAAGAAAGAAACAGTAGAATCCCTATATGGCCTTTAGAAGGAAAAAGACGTGAGTTTCTTTCCATTTTTTTTGGGGGGGGGGGGGGTTAATTCCTGTGTTACCCTTAGAAGGAAAAAAACCTTCCCTGTTTTTTGGGGGGGCTCTTAAGCAACTACTAGTTGAGCTGACACTCTGCAGCTCAGGGGTCTCCTCTGCCCTAAAGGTTTAGGGTTTAGGGTTTAGGGTTAGGGTTTAGGGTTTAGGGTTTAGGGTTTAGGGTTTAGGGTTTAGGGTTTAGGGTTTAGGGTTTAGGGTTTTTGCCTTTGGTTGGCGGGGGAGGGGAGGGAGGCGTCCCGAGTCCGTCAAGCTAAGGGGAACTCCACAGGACTGTAGAACCATGCCAGTGCGGCCGCAACTGACACCATTGCGGCAGTGACCAGCCACGATATACCTAAGCTGCTCAAGAACATCTAGCCTGCCCAGTAACCGACGCTTAACAAGGGTACCCTTTTTTGCTTTAAGGGGTTTATAGGGGAACCGAAACCCCCCAAAAAGGGAATAAGAGTACTACTGGGCATCCCAGACATGCATTGCCCGTGGTGTCAAAAGTCAAATCTTGGCTGACTTCTGAACCCCTCCTCAAAGTTTAACTTTTAGGCTCCTGATTGTAGTTTCTACAAAACCCCAAAGGCTAAAGTCCTCAGAGCCAGCCAGAAGAAAGCCAAGAAAAACCGTATGCGTTTAGGTGGCGCAAGGTTTCAGGATTCAGGGCCCAAAGGGCTTGAAGGGCGAAGCTTTTTGAGCGCTGGAATCTGCCAAGCAAGGCCGCCCCTCCCGAACACGGCCCAGGCGCATGCATGGACGCCGGCATGCCTGGCACATTGGGCGGTTTAGGGTTTAGGGTTTAGGGTTTAGGGTTTAGGGTCCTTGGAAACCATACACCATCGTGCTGCCACACCCCCGGACAGAATTTATGACTGAAAGGGAGGGCCAGGGTGAAAGTGAGAATGACAGAGAAGATGAGAGAAACCCCAAAAACCTTAGACCCACGGCTGCGGGGTTGGGGAGTTTAGGTGATCGCGGGAGGGGAGGGTTTCGGGTTTGGGGTTTAGGGGGTCTAGCGAGTCCACGGTTTGGGCTCAAACCAACGCCCCCCCATCCCCAAAACCGAAAGGTACAAAGAGAACCGATGGCCAGCCCCGAAGGGGAACCCCTAAACCCTAAACCCTAAATCCTAAATCCTAAACCCTAGCCCCTAAACCCTAAACCCTAAACCCTAAACCCTAAACCCCAAACCCCAAACCCTAAACCCTAAACCCTAAACCCTAAACCCTGACCGCCAAGCCCAAACACCAAACAATTAAAACTCACACCCTAAACGGAGCCTGGGGATGAGCCAGCGAGCCAATGCTGACCTGTGGTGGTGGGTTGCGCGCAGCACCTGTGGGAACAGGGCTCAAGGGGTTCAAGGGTTGAGGGTTTAGGGTTTGGGATTCGGGGTCGCGAAGAGCTTAGATTTTAGGGTTTGCATCTCAAGGGAGCTTCCGGTTTAAGGATTAGGGGTGTGGTGGTTTGAGGCTACCTTCTGCTTGCGATCCTTTGTAGGAGGGCGAGTTACGATAACGCTCTTTTTGCTGGACGGGGGAGCTTAGGACTTTAGTGTCTCACGTGGCAGCTTCAATCCTAAATCCCGAGCCCTTAAGCTTTAAGGCCCCAACCCCCCAAACCTGAAGCCCTAAAACCCTAAAACCCTAAACCCTAAACCCTAAACCCTAAACCCTAAACCCTAAACCCTAAACCCTACAGCTTAAATCCCCACGGCATGAAAGCAACCCCTTCAACCCTAAACTGAAGGGTTTAGAGTTTAGGGTTGAATCCCTGCAAACCCTACGCGTGCCGGGGAAATTCTGAAGATGAGACATGATGACCCCATGTGCGGCTCTTATAAGGAAGAATGTTCTATTTTTGTTTTCTTGTTTTTTTTTTGGAGGGGGGGGGGTTCTAAAGCAAATTGTGGGAGTTGTTCATTCCCAGGCGTTCTGGATCATTCGGGTAGAAGGGCCCCAACTAAACCCTTCTAGGAGGAGCACTGCATCCTGCAGCCGCAAGCCCTGATCCCTGAGTCCTACAGGCCAGCAAGTTCCTCACTTTCAGCCATAAACCGCAAACCCTCAAACCCTCAAACCCTAGACCCTCAAACCCTAGACCCTAGACCCTAGACCCTAAACCCTAAACCCTAAACCCAGCTCCTATCTTAAGAATCCCAAAACGACTTCTTTTTCTAGGTTCTTCGTACACATCACCCTTATAGGATTCGGGTTCTTGGGAGTCTGAAGATAAGCCCTAAACGCCAAACGCTGAATCCGATAAGCGCTGTAAAGTCCCCCCAAACGAACCTCCAGTGTGGCCTTGAACCGCATCGTCTTCTGGCACCTTCGCACTATTTAGTTGCAATTAGTTGCAGCTTCTATGGCAAGCCCTGAATCCGAAACCTTACACACCTGCACCCCAAACGCAAAACAAAAACAAAACAAAAGCCCTAAATGAATCAAGTTGCAGCACGCTGTCCGGACTTTACTTTGGTGTTCAGACCTTCCTTGCCTGTGCTGCATGACTGAGCGAGTCTTGCCTTGAGCCCTCAACCTCACCCTCCTACCCTCCACCCTAGACCCTAGAGCCTAAACCCTAAACTCTAAACCATAAACCCTACTCTTCCCCCTAGACCCTGAAGCCTAAACCCTGAGCCCGACAGGGCCCACCCTACCCCTCTCCCCGCCCTTACATAGTTCGAAGTAGAGTTATGCCGACACTGAAACTCGGGTAGGTTCCGGGGCCCTATGAAAACTAAATTGCTGTGGCCTTATTCAGATTATATAGGAGACTAAGGGCAATAATCGAAAACAACAATTAGGTTCAAACCTACCCTGGACTGGGGCTAGTATAATTCTGGGTTCGCCATGAGGGAGGGGGTTTGGGGTTTGGGGTTGAGGGTTGAGGGTTTAGGGTTTAGGGTTTACCTGAAAACCCGAAACCCACTTTTTTTGTAGGTTCTTTGCATACATCCCCTTAGAGGATTCTTGAAAACCTAAACCCTAAACCCTAAACCCTAAAGCCAAAACCCTCAACCCTAAACCCTAAACTCTAAACCCTAAACCCTACAAACAATTGCTTTGGAAGTCTAAAGTAGGTTGGGACTCCTGCGGCTACTTGGTACTTTGGGTGTCAATTTGCTCTGGGTCTTCGTTTGTAGAGTTCAGTGTGAGGAAATGGCTTTCTCTTGTACCAGGGTCTGCAGAAAAAAAACCCTAAACCCTAAACCCTAAACCCTGCGAATGTGTGGAAGCAATAGCAGCCTGCCAATTCTCGTTGTCCACGTTTCCCTCCTTCGGCGGATGCTGCGCGCAAGTTTTCGGAGTTCATCCTACCACTCGGTTTAGGGTTTAGGGTTTAGGGTTTAGGGTTTAGGTGGGAATAGGCTTGGAAAGGGGCTGGGAGATTGCTGCTATTCGCGGCGTGCTGGAATTGGTGAATTGTGGTTGCGATGGGCAACTCGTATCTGTGGATGGATTTGCAGAGATGGGTGCGAACCTGAGCCCGAAACCGTAAACCCCAAAACCCTTTATCCTAGTCTACTTTAGGCCGGGGCACCTACAAGCACAGAAGCAGGACAGTGCATCCGAAACCTGTCAAGCGGAACATGAGCGCATGAAATACGACTAGCAAATCATCCAAAACCATGAGCCCTCTACCCAAAGACCGACGCCAGTACCGACAATCTAGTTCGGCAACAAAACCTACAGGACGCAGAGATACAGGACTTATAACCCAATTTTTGGGTTCTTGCCCTTCTTGAAGTCACGGAGCCCTAAACCCTAAACCCTAAACCCTAAACCCTAAACCCTAAACCCTAAACCCTAAACCCGGCACCTGCACCATCAAGTCTGCTGGTGCCGGCGGCTCCGTGTCCGCATGGGTTGATCGAATTGCTGGGTCATAGACCTGGGGGGGGCAAGCATGCCTGGAGCTCTGCACACTAGTGAATTGTTTAGGGTTTAGGGTTTAGGGTTTAGGGTTTAGGGCCAGGGTTTAGGGTTTAGGGTTTAGGGTTTAGGGTTTAGGGTTTAGGGTTTAGGGTTTAGGGTTTAGGGTTTAGGGTTTAGGGCTAAGAGAGATTTAACGCTTCGCAGGCCTGAAGAAATCCTAGTCCTTGCAAGCAATGAGCTACCATGAGTGTGCCCAAATATCAAGAACGCAAGTGTTAAATGACCCCGATATGCCTGCAGCGCCTACATAACCTCAATTAATGCAAGAATAGGGCATGTACAGAACGAGACGTGAAGAGAGGGTGCCTCGCAAGCTGGCAAGGGTTTAGGGTCCTTGACCAAAGCCAGCCCTGCACTAAACCTCCAACCCCCCCGCCACCTAAACCATAAACTCTGAACCCTAAACCCTAAACCCCTAAACCCTAAACCCTAAACCCTAAAACCTAAACCCTAAGTGGTGTTTGTGCAGCCATGGATCCTCAGTCAGTGGCGTGGCTGCAGCATCTGCATTGCCTGCCGCAGCCATTTGCCGCCAATCCTCAGCCTGTCAACCAACCCTAAACCCTAAACCCTAAACCCTAAACCCTAAAACCTAAACCCTAAACCCTAAACCCTAAACCCTAAACCCTAAACCCAAAAAAGGGGTTTTGGAGTCCACCGGTGTCAGGTTTAGGGTTAAACCTACACCCCTGAAAGTACATAAGGCAGTATGATGGGCTTAAAGCTGATAGTTCATAGTATATATATAGCACATAGTATGTAGAATATAGAATATATTGTTTGCATGCTTTGTATATAGCAATATGAAAGCACAGTTTTGGAGCTTCCGTTCGGACGGTTCAAGAGGGCATGTGCTCGGTGCTTCATGGCTGAGGCCGATGGACTTAAGCGACTTAAGTCTGGGTCGACCTCGTTTGAGCCTTTTCTGAGCAAACCTCCCCCGAACCCTGTAACAGAATATCACATAAAACCTGATCATACAACATGATTCAACATTCTCCAACATCATTTGACAACAAAAAAAGTAGCATCATCTAACACCATGACGTGTAATATGAGATAGACGATTGCAGTATCACACAATGGTGGAGAACACAGCAATGTAACAATGTATATATATATATATATATACACACATACATGTATACATGTATATGTATATATATATATGTATAACTGCTTCGTAGGCTATACTATATACACTATATATATACACAATATACTCTATATTCTATATACTATGTACAATATACTACATACTATTTATTTGATGAGACGATCCTATTCTGTACTCGACATAAACCCCACTTAGGGCTCTTACCCCTCCTTGAAGTCGCAGGGCCCCGGCACCTGCACCAGCAAATCCACTGGTGCCGGCGGCTTCATGTCCGCATTGGTTGATCGAACTGCTGGGTCATAGACCTGGGGGGCAAGGGGTTTAGGGTTTCGGGTTTCGGGTTTAGGGTATGGAGCTCTCCACGTAGGTGAAGAGCGATTTAACGTTTCGCAGGCCTGAAGAAATCCTTGCAAGCAATGAGCTACCATGAGTATGCCCAAATATGAAGAACGTAAGTGTTGAGCGACCCGATATGCCTGTAGCACCTACATGACCTCAATTAATGCAAGAATAGGGCATGTACAGAACCGGACGTGAAGAGAGTGAGCCTCACAAGCTGGTAAGGGTTGAGGTTCCCCCCCTAAAGCCAGCCCTGCACTGAACCTCTTCAAAACATCTAAAGAAGGCTCCGATCCACCCCACCCCCCGAAAGTGGTGTAGTCAAGGATCCACAGTCAGTGGCGTGGCTGCAGCATCTGCATTGGCTGCCGCAGCCAATTGCTGCCAATCGTCAGCCTCTCAACCAAGAAAACCCTTAGCATCAAAATAGCCGAAAAACATCATAGAATAAGGCCTTCGGGCCCCAAAACCCTTAAACACGAGTTCTTGGAGCCTTAGAAAAGGGTTCAGAGTCCAGGGGTCAGGTTGGTTACAAGCTTTCGCTGAGTGCCAGGCGCGGCCCTGCCCCCTTCAGAGATGAGTTCAGGGTTTCGGGTCAAGATTCTAGATGGGGTTTCCACATTGAACCCTGCGCCCTGAACAGAAGACCAGCTCCTCTTCGACCTCTCGGGACTACAAAGCAAGGAACCACTGCAAAAACACACTCTTCGGGGCTTCGGGAATTTCTTGGGGTGCGAGATAGCGTCCGAAACCCGAAGCTACGCTCCACAGTCTAGGACTCAGAGACCCCGAAAACCCTAGACCCTGAACCAGGCGCAAGCTCGGAAGACTCCAGGCAATAGGGACGTCGATCTTTGAAGAACAGCGTAGTGACCCACACCCCCCCCCCCCACCCCTGCCCCCCCAACTTATGGTTGAGGGTTTACGGTGTTTCGGGTTTAGGGGTTTAAGGTGTTTAGGGCTGAACAGTACAATGGGAGTTCCTCCAAAACCCTAAACCCTAAACCCTAAACCCTAAACCCTAAACCCTAAACCCTAAACCCTAAACCCTAAACCCTAAACCCTAAACCCTAAACCCTGCTAAAAATCTGAGTTGCAGATGCAGGTCACCCAGGTCCCAGAGTAGTCAATAGAAACGTCTTAGGACCGACACAAAGGGTGTAGGGTTTAGGGTTTAGGGTTACAGTTCCCTTTTGTGTTGTAAAGGGTTTATAAGTGAAACGGTGGAATACAGGCCCACCCTAACCCTCAATAACTGAAGAAAGACTCCTGGACGCAAGAATAACGTAAAAAGGGTACCCTTTTTGGGTTGAAGAGGCTTAGAAGGGAGCCTCAAAATCCTAAATCAAGGAAATATTTAGGGGGCCTACTCACGTCTTGAGTCCCAGTCACAAGACTCGTGACCTTGTGCGTCAAGCGAGCCTGAAGCGCCTTGAAGTCCTTGCGTCGTGGACAGAACCAGGCTGAGGGTAGTTGTCGGGTCGGCTGAACCCTAAACCCTAAACCCTAAACCCTAAACCCCCAACCCCAAACCCTAAACCCCCCAAACCCCTGGGGTTTTAAGGGTTTAAGGTTCAGGGTTTGGCTCCGGGCGGACTTGCTGGGATCCACAGTCGAAGAACCGCTTCCCTCGTGCAGCATTGTAGTTTTCAATGCACATCCCAAGAACCTCAGAGGAGGCCAAAAAGGGGCCCGAACCCTCTAAACCATGTACCGTAAACCCTAGAAAACCCTACAGCCTAAACCACTTGGGTGCGTCGTGAGTCATTGGAAGCGACTGTGGGCTCTCCTCGACCCTTCGTGAAGAGACATCGCCTCAGCCCCACCCCCGTCCTCAAAAACCCGAGTTCAGTTTGGGGGTGTGCCCCAAGATTCGACCTGGGGCTTGGCCGCCTGAGACGGCGCAGGGTGGGAGGAAAGTGCTCGATGGCCCTCAGAAATTGGGCCTCTGAGGAGGCTTTCGAAGCTATTTCGGCGTCCGCCTCATCTTCACAGCTTCAGCTCCTTATCCCAGCAAACCCTATTTAAACCCTAAACCCTAAAACTGATAAACCCTAAACCCTAAACCCTAAACCCTAGACCCTAAATCCTAAACCCCTAAACCCTAACCCTAAACCCTAAACCCTAAACCCTAAACCCTAAACCCTAAACCCTAAACCCCAAACCCCAAACCAGCAAGCTCCTGCACATCGAGGTCTGTTTCGTACAAGTCCGGCATGCTCTTCACTCGGGGCATGCTGACCGGCGCCTCCTCTGCGGACAGGCGGGGCTTTGACTTATTTAGGGTTTAGGGTTTAGGGTTTAGGGTTTAGAGTTCAGGGTTCAGGGTTGAGGGTTGAGGGTTTAGGGTTTAGGGTTTAGGAGGGACGAGCTGCTATCTATGAGAAGGAGAGACCCCAAACCTACAAACCCTAAACGCAAGTCAACCGACGCGAGGGCCGCTGGTTCTATGCATCTGTATGCTTTATCGCAGATATATTCCGATTGCTGAAAGAAATTCTTGGACCCCCATCCCAAAGTACAAGCCGATCATGGGGAGGCCTCGAAACTCACAAAGGTCTTGCTGTACACCAGCACCATGCTCGCTGGCTCCATGACCGCATCGGTTGAGAGAATTGTTGGGTCGTCGACCTGCTGGGGGGCAAGCATGCCTCAGAACGCTTGCAAGGGCTACCATGAGCATGCCAACACCAAGAACGTACGTGTCGAATCGCCTATACAGGACCCTAATGCCAAAACCGGACAGTTGCACCCTAAACCCTAAACCCTAAACCCGAAACCCTAAACCCTAAACCCTAAACCGAGCTTCACAAACTGCCAAAAGACTAGAGGTCTCTACCAGCGAAATCCAACCAAAGCAGTACGAGGTCCTAACCCACTTGGAGGGATCTGAGTGCTCAAATAGGGGTCTCTGAAAATAGGGGGTACCTTATTGAGGTCCGTATTACAAGGGAATCCTACTATTTGCAGGTCTATCTTATGGGTCCCCTATTTTTCGTAAACCCCTAAACCCCTAAACCCCTAAACCCTAAACCCTAAACCCTAAACCTAAACCCTAAACCCTAAACCCTCTGAGTGGTGTTCATGCAGCCTCGGCCAGTGGCGTGGCTGCAGCGTCCGCACCTGCGGCCGCAGCCGTGTGCTGCAAATCGTCGTCAGCCTGTCGACTCTAGGGTTTAGGGTTTAGCGGTTTACCCCCAAAGAGATCAGAGTCAGGTTTTCAGCTTTATCTACTACTGCTTAAGAACCCCCCCCCCCCAACGAATAGAAGAAGTTCTTCCTGATTTGGGATTAGTGCCTTGTTTTTTTTTTTTTTTTTTTTTGGGGGGGGGGGGCTTTAAAAATATTAGTTAATTAGGGTTGAACTCGAGCCCCAGATGGAAGCACAGTCTTGGAGCTTTCGCCCTGACGTGCCAGCACATATCCTTTGGTCTTTCATTGGGGCCCTGGGCTGCACTGCAGCTGGGGCCGATGTGACGGTTTAGGGTTTAGGGTTTAGGGTTTAGGGTTTAGGGTTTAGGGTTTAAGCCCTCCCCCCCTCCCTGGTATGCCCCCCCCACCCCTCATGGTAGAGCACCGACACCCCCATGGTGTCCACATCCCTTCAACCAGGTTTTTCGTTAGATTTCAGCCCAAGTTTTTGGTGAGATTTCAATCCCCGCCCCCGCCTGTGATACCATTAGATGCTTGCCTGTCGGGTACACCATGCTCGGCACCACGAGGGGTTTAGGGTTTAGGGGCGGGGAGCACGGATTGACATCTGACAAAGGGGCATGTTCCGCGCCACGCAGTGGCGGGGAAGAGGAAGGAAGGTTTGGGGGGGATGCCATGGGGGGCGGGGGGGGGGGGGGGGGGGGCGGGGCCTACTTACGCCTTGAGTCCCAGTCACAAGACTCGTGACCTTGTGCGTCAAGCGTGCCTGAAGCGCCTTGAAGTCCTTGCGTCGTGGACGGAACCAGGCTGAGGGTAGTGTTCTGCCATGTAGGGTGTAGGGTTCATCAGGGTTGCAAAAGGCTTAAGGCCTTAAGGGGTTTTCAGGGCTTTTTATGGAGTTTAGGGGGTTTGTAGGGTCTCTCGGGTTCGGGACATCAGTTTACAGCGTGTTCTAGCATACGCCATGGACTACACAACCTGATACGAGCTTGCACGGCATCTACACCAAACCCCAGACCCCAAACCATAAACCCCAAACACCAAACCCTAAACCCTAAACCCTAAACCCCAACCCTACAGCCGGCTCCTGCACGTCGAGATCCGTTTCATACAAGTCTGGCATGCTCTTTACCCGGGGCATGCTGACGGGCGTCTCCTCTGCGGACAGGCGGGGCTTTGACTTATGTAGGGTTTAGGGTTTAGGGTTGGGACTTTAGGCGGGGCCCTTGGGGACTCAATGAACGCCTAAAACGTTTTTGTGTTTTTTTTGGGGGGGAACGTTTTTTTCCTGCAGCAGTGCAACTCCTCCCACGCGGTTGTCGAAAAAAATCGAAACCCCAAACAGCTTGGCAAACTGACATCGCGTGTCCACCCTAAACCCTAAACCCTAAACCCTAAACCCTAAACCCTAAACCCTAAACCCTAAACCCTAAACCCTAAACCCTAAACCCTAAACCCTAAACCCTCTGCTTCTGGACTCGTGCAGCTTCCTTCCTCCGAGGTTGATTCTTGAAGATGTATCTGATAGGGTTTAGGGTTTAGGGTTTGGGGTTTAGGGTTTAGGGTTTGGGGTTTAGGGTTTAGGGTTTAGGGTTAGGGTTTGCAAGTCAACCGAGCGTGCTTCATTTGCTTTGCACTGTGTATCCCGTGGCGTTCGACCGCGCCTACCTAACCCTCAACCCTCAACCCCCCAACCCCCTAAACCCTGAACCCTGAACCGTCAGCCCTGAACCCCAACTAAACCCCAAACGCAAAAAACCCAAACGCTCGACCGAATGGGTCTATGCACTCGTAGAGTTACTTATAGACCGAGTAAGTGCCTTCACCGCAGCTACAGTCGGGTCCCGAAAAAGAGATCCCCAACTTAAGACAGATCCCAAACCCTAAGCCCTAAGCCCTAAGCCCTCAACCCTCAACCCTCAACCCTAAACCCTAAACCCTAAACCCCAAACCCATGACGCCTCCAGGCTCACAAAGGTCTTGCGGATCACCATTGGCATGCCCAAAGGTTGGTGCAAAAAGCCGCAAAAGGTGGGGAAATTGCGATGCTAGACAGCTAAATTTCCGTGCAAGTGCACAGCCTGAGCCAGAAGGCGGTTGTTTTTTTTGTCTTTTGGGTATCCAAGCCAGCCTAGACCCTATGAACTTTGAACCCTAAGCCCTAAGCCCTAAGCCCTAAACCCTAAACTTTGGGCCCTGAACCCAAAACCTTCATCCCCGAAACATTGAGTCCTTAACGGATAGAATCCCCTTAAAGGAACCCCCAAAATGTACCCCTGCATTTTCGGAAACCCCCACATGCAAGAGGCTTTGATGCAAAGCGTTTTGGTGCCAGTGGGCCTTGGTATTTTTGCGTTTAGGGGTTGAGGGTTTAGGATTACGGGTAACTCTCAGACCCGAATCTCCCTCTGACCCCTAAAACCCAAAAACTAAACCCGAAACCCTAAACCCTGAACCCTAATACTGAAAGCTCGGTTTGGGTGTAGGGCTGCGGGCTTAGCGTTGAAGTCTAGGGTTTCGACTACGTAAGGGTTAGGCCTTAAACCGGGCTTAGGGAGGATTAGGGTCTGGGATTGGAATGTTCCCCGCTATACTAACAGTCCTTAATCGGAGATTCTAGTACCCGGTACCCCCTATCATAATCCCGATTAAGGACTGTTGGTATAAAAGGGAGAACATCCCAGGTGTGGGATTTTATGTTATGTGCTTTATCGCTTCGGTGGTGCAGGGCTTGCAGTTTATGTCTAGGGCTTCTTTGCGACGCGTCTCAGAATCTGAACGGCCAGCGCCCTTCAAACTACACCAAAGCCCTGTTTTGTTCGTCGTTTAGGGTTTAGGGTTTAGGGTTTAGGATTTAGGGTTTAGGGTTTAGGGTGTCCACGATGCGTCCTCCACTCTTCCCTCCCAGCCTTCTCCGAACACCTTCACATAACCCCACAGGACTAGACGCAATAAACCCAACCTACCTCTGGAGTAGACCCAGAAAAGAAAAGTATATACTTTTTAGGTATAAGTAGCTATAATGGGAACACAAAACCAAAAAGAGTATTCAAAGTATAGTAATCCAAAGCTCAGCCAAAAATCCGAACCAAAACCCTGGTTTGTTCGTCCTTTAGCTGGCCTCTGAAAACCGACGGCTATAGATCAAACACGAATCCCTGAACCCTGAGACCAGAGCCGGAAACTAACACAAGCCCTGAACCCTACACTACTGCTACCCAAAGCCCTAAACCCCTGTACCAGCGAACTGCGATAAACCCGGAACCCTAATCTCATGAGGCCGAAGCCCCTACACGCAGAACCTCTGAAATCATACCCCTTGGCCCTGTTCAGTGTGGGGAGGCTTAGGGTGTAGCGGCTTCGGGTTCGTAAACTCTGAAACTCTGAAGCCTGAACCCCCTCCTAAACGTCCAAAATGCCCTAAACCCCAAACCCTAAACCCTAAACCCTAAACCCTAAACCCTGACCTCCATGTGCCTTCGCCTGATCCAATGCCACCTCCATACTCGGTGCCCGACTTTGGTCATCCTCCACTGGGTTGCGATTAAGGAACTAGGGTTTAGCCTGCTAGCCCAGTAACCATACCGTAACAAGGGTACCCATTGGGCTGGTTACTTCTACATGGAAGCCCAGAGCCTAACAAGGGCAAAAGGGTACCACTCAGCTAACAAGTCAGGGTTGGGCTAGCATAATGCGCTTAGGGTTTAGGGTTTAGGAGTTCCTATAAAGAGGGTCACACACTTCTTTCCAAACTGTTTTGTTAAGGAACCATGAACTCCAAGATGGGTGCAATGGGAGAGGCTGAAATCGCAACCTTGTGGTCCATGGGCTTATAGATACAAGGGCAAAGGGATTAGGGCTGTTCGGCCGGCTTACCATGAGGCTTTCAACCCTAAACCCTAAACCCCAAACCCTAGAATACTGAGTTTGAGGGCACCTTTCGAGCCACGAGAACATGTGCCGGTGTCCCAGGAACTCTCAAGGGGCTTCGAAATCGCCTTACTGTGAGATGTAGGGTTCGGGCTTTGGCGTTGAGGGTGTGGGGTCTCCGGGCTAAGGTTCAGGCTTCAAAGCAGGATGGATGAAGGGTTTGAGGGCCAGGTTTAATTAGAGATGACATCCTAAACCCCAAAAACCCTGAACCCCCTAAATCTCAAACCCTAAAACCCTGCTTGAAACCCTAGCGGGCTGAAGGCTTTAGCAACTTTTGTGTGCCCTAAACCCTAAACCCTAAACCCTAAACCCTATACCCTAAACCCTAAACCCTAAACCCTAAACCCTAAACCCTAAACCCTCGGGTGCACCTGCAAGTTCTTCCAGGCATCGGCCTGACTTGAGGTCTGTGATGAGGTTTAGGGTTTGGGGTTTAGGGTTTAGGGTTTAGGGTGTAGGCTAAACTTAAACCAGCAGGTATTTGGGGGGTTTGGGAGTTAGGGTTGCAGGGCTTAGGGTTCGGGTTGTCGGGTTTTTAGGGTTGAGGGGTTGTAGTGTTGTAT